TAAGGCCTGTTATATATTTCACAATAGGAACCTGCATACAATCAATGCAAGACCACGAACAATCTGATTGTGCAGCCATCTGTTTGAAACACTTGTTCGATAGGTTCGCGCAGCTGGGATGATAGCATTTTTGGCAGTAGCTACATGCAATAAATATTTTGACATCTTTGGCGCAACCCAGTAGACCACATTCCCCTAAAATGGGAGTGACGAATGGTGTGGCATCTGTCGGTATACTCCATCGACCCATTTCGGTGCGCTGTAAACGACGAGGGGACAGACGTTTGACAAAGGTCATGCGAAGAGAGATCGGTGACTGAGATAAACACGCGTGCGTTTCAGCGAGGAGTCAGTGTGGAGAACAATGGACGGGAGACAGCCAATGCGTACCGATCGATGTGATCGGTGATCGGGGAGGGACACCCGTGAGTGATGACAAACGGTACGGAATTGAACTACACACATATATATCCGTACCGCTCTTCAAAATTGACTCAGAGAAATGATCACAAGCTCGTTGAATAGAGCGATGAAAGCTCTTCAAAATGGTGTCGCAATAAATCCAGTAGGTATATAATTGAGCACTATTGCGCTCGTTAATAACACTGAGAGGTTGGTGCGGAAAACCGAGCGGCGTCAATGATCGAAGAGTAAAATATATATCCAATATTTACGTATCACTGAATGCAGCACAGAAAACTGAGCAAAAAGAGTGTAAACTCGTCGCAGTTTACCGGGGTTTGGCACAGAAACTCCACTTAATCCGGGAGAGCACTAACTGAGCGACCGCACAGGACACAGATACACATATACCGAGTGGTGGTTTATAGTGAAACATCACAATAGGCATACTATACTTCATGTTCACAAGTAGCAAGCGAAACTATGATTAAAGATGTTGAGTGGCATATCATTCCGGTTATAATGAAACTAAGCTGAACCCATCATATCGTGATATATATCAGTCGACACATGTAGGATTGATAGGTTTTGGTCTTCAAAATTAGGCTGTGTCTATAAAGTGACAATCTATCGCCCCCAAACATCACAGATTATGGTGGGTGTATCGGTAACTGTATTTCCGGGGTTCAAGCGGTTTTTTAAGAGCCTTCTAATGACTAGGGTTGATAGCCTCTACTGAGAAAGTTCTACGCACCGTTTTCCGTTGGCACTGAGAGGGTAAACAACCAGTCCCTGGTCGACACACATCCCGACACCCAATCGAGTCGCTGACCACTGCCACAATCAGGAAGGTGTGGTTGGTTTCGAATCAGGATTTTTAGCCAACTCTACGAAGTGAACGGGAACCGGGTTATAGCCCCGGATGTTGGCTTTTCGTTCTTCCACTTGGATGGGAAAACACCATCATGGGAAGGCAGAAAGTAGAGTTTCCTTAGCAGCGGTTATTCGAGACATATGGTCATAAAGTATCACTTCGCAAGGTGCAAGGGGAGGGTGACCAGCCGCAACCCTAGACGCCCACCCCCGTTCTTACTGAGGCTTTCGGAATTTGGGAGCTGGACCAACCGAACCTTTCAGCAATATTTTCTACGCTAATTGTGTGAAACGCACGTTCAACACAACTAAAATACCATTAAAGTGATCTAAAAAAAACCTGCCACCTATCAGGATATTCACTGGGCAGTACATTGTCGTCGGCATACTCCAAATCAGAGTCTTCCATCTGAGAGTATGCTGATGTTATTACCCTCGCATAGGGACATAATTGCTCCCCAAATCGAATCCGTTACTGTGTTGGAAAGTGTTGTTTGGACTGATCGTTTTTTTTACTACATCATTTGTGTTTTATGATTGGTCCGTATAAGACTTTTATTTTGCGAACCGGACAATCTGATTGGTTCAGGGTTACCTAAAATCATCTGTGATTCCCGTCCGAAATGTGGTTTGTGCCCGGTGCACTTAAAAAATATGTCGAGAGCACTTCCTGAAGAACGGACTGTTGACAGTTACGGTGAATAGAAAAGGAGAGGGGGCAACCCCGACTAACCTGTTTTCATGGGGTAGAAAAGAGCCGTAAGGTCGAAGTCGGCTTCGAATATTACAATAAACTGATAGCAATATTGAAATAAACTTCTTGGATACCTTTCGAGAAGAAATAAGGCTAGAGCATAAAGTGATTGAGTCGCGAGGTGCTTTCAGACCCATGGAGCTACATGGTACATTGAGCAATCTGGACGTGGGAGCTCCACTCAAGGAGCGCATGATTCGGTAGACGAAATATCGCCCAAAAATGAGTAGCAGACTCGAAGCACCGACCCAGCGTGTTATGGGGTGGACTATTCATTTGAGGGAAAGGGGTCAGGCCTCTTAAACTCCTACTGCGGTATGGGCAACCGGGTAAGGCAGAAGACTAAAGACAAAAAATCTATCCAAACCAAAATTATAACCATTTGAACACCTTTGTACAGTTAAAAAGAAACTATTGCGACATCTATAACTAGGAGTATTTTAGAAATCAAGACAAGTTTCGATAAATTAAATAACGCATGTTAAATGAATGAGGCACTCGAGTTAAACATGAGTCATACAGTGGTGAACAATAACAAACAAATTACCTTTCGTAAATTGGGCCATACATAATGCAGAAAAGTGCCACAAAGTACTACTGTCCATAAAATAGCCCGTGTGACAATGGGTTCCTTGGCGGCGTACATCAGAAGCGGACTGGCGTGTAAAGCTGAGACCACCACGAGCAACAAGATACAACAGTTTAGGTCATTCTTCAAACGACCTGTCAAAGCCGTACGTATCAATTCAGGTAATGGGTCAGTATTCGACTGCGGTATACCGGGTTGTTTTGCATCGCAACTTGCCTCGCTTTCTGTCAATGTGTTCCTGTTTTGCTGCTGTTGCTGTTGATCGAGGGATATAATGAGAGTGGACTTGGAAGGTAATGGAACATCAGACCCGCATTGATCAGTAGGACAAACCACACTCACATCGGGTAAGCGCGGTTCAGATTCAATCTTAAACAACTCTGTCGGGGCCGAAATTTGGGGATCTGCAAGGTCATTTGTGGGTCGGCAGCATTCTGACTGGGCGGTTTTGCTGACTCGATCAGATGAGGTAGATGAAACCCGGTCATCTAATTGTAAATCTTGTATCCTCTCTGGGACACAAGGATCGATACGTGCAACCTGTGTGTTTGATTCACTGCTGGCGCTAGGTACTTGGGTTTGTGTGGGTAGTGCGGAAACGATTGGCAGGGAACCGCCTCCGTGTACGCGACTAATAGGGATCATATGATCCCGCTGCATAGCAGTAGAAAGGAGTCCTTCGCCTAGAACGGGTAAGATACAGAAAAAAGGTTCGATAACTTGGCTAATATTCAAAAGCTAAAGGAAAGGGGATGCTCAAATTTTAAATGATAAGCAAATCAACGGATCCATTGTCCAAACAAGAATCAAAAAGTAATTATCCCCCATCGCCCACTTTCTGCCTGTTGGGACGCTTCTGAGCAAAGCACTGGATGCTCCGTCTTCCTAGTAGAAATTTTTATTTACTTTTTCGCCCGAATAACGTCTTCATTCCTCCATTTCAGCGAGTGAACTACCGAAATCAATTACCGAAACCACACCGTTGCAGCTGAAGGCTAGAAGTTCTCTAAAATAAACTGAAATGGAGAGTCAACAGAAACCTTTAGATGCTTCTCGATCCTCACGTTCTCAGGGGTCTTATAGCCCGTTTAAAATCTTACGCCGCCCTGTTACGAACTATAGTATCCAGTCGGAGTTTCCATTTCAAACTTCGGGTTAAAAATGTGTAGTGGAGGACATTCGGTGGCAAGATCTGACACCAAGAGATGGATCTTCACCTGATACACTATCTAATTGCTTAAACTGTTCGGAATTCTGAACTAGTGCGAAAACGAGAATCAGTCCTCGAAAGGCATAAACTCTCGCGACCGCTGAATATTCAGTCGAATAAAAAACTGAGCGATTTGTAGAAGTAGTAAAGATCGTTTCGCGATTTTCCCACACACGATAGTCAAACTAAACAAAAATCACGAAATCACGTCTCACAGCAGGTTTCAGATGAATAACCAACCATACTGAAACTTATATGGAAACAAACGAAAGAAACTAAAATGTGGAATTACCAAGATCAGTTTCAGTTTCAATTTATATAACCATTAACC